AGGCGAGCCCGGAGCCCTGTGACGGCCGATTGCAGGAGCCCTCGCTCAGCAAATCTGTGGCTCTTCCAGGTTTGGGAAGATAGCATTTTCTAGCAGGAATTTCTATTTCTCTGTGTTGTCAGGCTCTTCGACCATATAAGCAATCATTTCTGATGACTGCTGTGTACTCTGCCAGCCTGCACTGGGAGCTTCTAAGTAGAGCCAGCCAAATGGTTACTGCCTAAAAACTAAGTTTTCTCTTCTGTCAGGATTCTGCTTTAAGTCAAAATCCCCCTCCCGGTTATTTAAAACAAAACATCAAATCTGATCTTCTGAAGGTTCTTTCTTTGAAAATAAATAAATAAATATATTAGTTCAGCTCAGTTCAGTCGCTTAGTCGTGTCCGACTCCTCACAAGCCCATGGACTGCAGCACGCCAGGCCTCCCTGTCTGTCACCAGCTCCCGGAGTTGACTCAAACTCATGTCCATCGAGTCGGTGATACCATCCAACCATCTTATCCTCTGTCACCCCCTTCTCCTCCCACCGTCAGTCTTTCCCAGCATCAGGGTCTTTTCCAATGAGTCAGTTCTTTGCATTAGGTGGCCAAAGGATTGGAGTTTCAGCTTCAGAATCAGTCCTTCCAATGAATATTCAGGAATGATTTCCTTTAGGGTTGACTGGTTGGATCTCCTTGCAGTCCAAGGGACTCTCAAGAGTCATCTCCAATGCTACAGTTCAAAAGCATCAAATCTTCGGCGCTCAGCTTTCTTTATAGTCCAACTCTCACATCCATACACGACCACCATACAAAACCATGGCTTTGACTAGATGGGTCTCTGTTGGCAAAGTAATGTCTCTGCTTCTTAATATGCTGTCTAGGTTGGTCATAACTTTTTTTCCAAGGAGCAAGCGTCTTTTAATTTCATGGCTGCAGTTGCCATCTGCAGTGATTTTGGAGCTGCCCAAAATAAAGTGTATCACTGTTTTCATATTTTCCCCCTCTATTTGCCATGAAGTGATGGGACTGGATGCCATGATGTTAGTTTTCTAAATGTTGAGTTTTAAGCCAACTTTTTCACTCTCCTCTTTCACTTTCATCAAGAGACTCTTTAGTTCTTATTCGCTTTCTGCCATAAGGATGATGTCATCTGCATATCTGAGGTTATTGATATTTCTCCCATCAATCTTGATTCCAGCTTGTGCTTCTTCCGGCCCAGCATTTCTCATGATGTACTCTGCATATAAGTTAAATAAGCAGGGTGACAATATACAGCCTTAACGTACTTCTTTCTCGATTTGGAACCAGTCTGTTTTTCCATGTCCAGTTCTAACTGTTGCTTCCTGACCTGCATACAGGTTTCTCAAGAGGCAGATCAGGTGGTCTGGTATTCCCATCTCTTTCAGAATATTCCAGTTTGTTGTGATCCATATAGTTGCCCAACGTTTGTTTGGGTTTTTCTGTAAGATGTTATGGAAAACCCAAATGAATGTTTTAGCCAACCCAGTACTTGAGTTTACCCTTAAGTTAATTGTCTACTAAAATTGGGGTCGGGGGACCACAGTTCTGTACCAGTAAACTGTAGGCAGGGGCGAGTGTGCTTCTTGGGTGCAAAGGTAGGGCACTTCCTGCAAAAAAAAAAAACACCAACTGCCCTTATATTCAATATTAAATATATATTACATGTGTCCTTATTCCCCTTTCATTTCATTCTTCAGTGCAAGAGAATTTAGCCCATAACCCATGAAGCTCTGTCTTTCATAAAATCTTTCTTGACCTTCCTAACAAGTTTCAGTTGTCATTCACTTCCTCCTAAGCTTCCAGACAGAGAAGGCAATGGCACCCCACTCCAGTACTCTTGCCTAGAAAATTCCATGGATGGAGGACCTGGTAGGCTACAGTCCATGGGGTCGCGAATAGTCTGACACGACTGAACGACTTCACTTTCACTTTTCACTTTCACTTTTCACTTTCATGCACTGGAGAAGGAAATGGCAACCCACTCCAGTGTTCTTGCCTGGAGAATCCCAGGGACGGGGGAGCCTGATGGGCTGCCGTCTATGGGGTCGCACAGAGTCGGACACGACTGAAGCGACTTAGCAGCAGCAGCAGCAGTAGCAAGCTTCCAGAGTCTTTCATTTGATCCCCTTTAATAGCACACATTTTCTTCCTTGTAGTGTATTTACCAGCTGAGCCACAAGGAAATCCCAAGAATACTGGAGTGGGTAGCCTATCCCTTCTCCAGCAGATCTTCCTGACCCAGGAATTGAACCAGGGTCTCCTGCATTGCAGGTGAATTCTTCACCAACTGAGCTACCAGGGAAGCCCAGTGTATATTATCAGTGCATGATGTTATACCCATGGTTGAAAAAGAGTCTTTGCCAAGAAAAGCCATGACTTATCCATTTTTGGAATGTCCATAGTGTATAGAACTGAGTTGTCCATGATGGGTCTTCAAAAGATGTTAAATGTAGTTTTATAGGAAACTTATTTACCCAAATGTATCCCAAGTTAGCAAAATATGTGGTGGAAATAGTGAACAGGGGGTAAGTTTCCTCCCAGCCTTCTTTTTCTTCCTCTTCAGAAGAGGGTATGTTTTTAAATGTGGGTTCTATCCTCATGCAAGTAGGGTGACATTGACAGATCAGGACACAGCTGTCGTTGGAAGGATGGTTTGTTGCTCACAGTCCCCATGGGAAGGGGTCACACCACACCACACAGGAACCACAAGGAGATCCCTGGAGTCAGCCAGGGGGGCTCCTGGGCAAGAACCTTTATTGCGGCTCTTTCAGGAACTGAGTTGGTTAAGAATCCGCCTGCAATGCAAGGAGACCCCAGTTCAAATCCTGGGTCAGGAAGATCCACTAGAAAAGGGATAGGCTAGCCACTCCAGTATTGTGGCCTGGAGAATTTCAAGGACTTTATTGTCCACGGGGTGGCAAAAAGTCGGACACGACTGAGCGACTTTTGCTTTCACTTTCACTTTCACTTTCAGGAAAGAAGAGAAAAGGTATGTTGAGCAGTTGAGCAGGATTGTGAGTGTGAGTGTGTGTGTGAGAGTGTGTGTGAGAGTGAGAGTGTATGTGTGTGTGTGTGTGTGTGTGTGCATGCACGCATGCTCACTCACTCAGTCGTGTCCACCTCTTTGCAACTGCATGGACTGTAGCCCGCCAGACTCCTCTGTCCATAGGATTTTCCAGACAAGAATACTGGACTGGGTTACCATTTGGACCCAGGGATTGAACATGCGTCTCTTGCATTGGCAGGCAGACTCTTTACCACCACCTTCTCACCACCTGGGGAGCCCTAAGCGGGATTAAATCAGAATAATGTCAGTGAACTCTGGAGTGTAGGGCTCCAACAGTCCCAAGAATCTGCCTGCTGGTGCAGAAAATGCAATAGACACAAGTTCATTCCCTGCGTGGGGAAGATCCCCTGGAGAAGGGAATGGCAACCCGCTCCAGAATTCTTGCCTGGGAAAGCCCACTGACAGAGGAACCTGTCCGGCTATGGTCCATGGGGTCTTAAAGAGTCAGACAGGATTGAGCATGCATTCTGGAAGAGCCTGATAAAGAAGCAGCTGGGGGTGGGCGCTGGGTTGGTTGCTTCGTATGTCAAAGTGTTGCCCGAAGGGGAGTCTTGTGGTGTCTCCAAGAACTGTCTGAACCTGGGAGGGGCAGTCTCTCCAGGGTCAGCAAGACCCCAGATGTCAAAGCACCAGAAACCTGGAAAATAAATAAAAGAGCCTAATTCCTGTGGGGTCTCTTTCTTCCTGGAAGCTCCCACCTCTTCCTCACAGACACCAACAACCTCTTTCTGTGCACTCCCCTGTTTCTGCCCCATTTATCTATAAATACAGTCCAATAGCACCAACAGGAAAATACATTTTCCTATAAAATTTACAGAGAATTCAGAGGTGGTCTTTGAGACACCATGATATTCATCTTTTAAAAATTGAGGCACACTGTTAATATCTACAGAAAAGCACACTCACCCTAGGGATATATAGCTCTATGAATTATCAGAAAGTAACGATGTTCCTTTTTTATTCTAACCACACCGTGTGACATTTTTGGCAACATAGTACGCGTTTCCTTACAGGGTCGCCTGAAGTGCAGGGTGTAGACTCTAGCCCCAGAGTGTCTGGGTTCTAAATCCTGCCTCTGCCACTCCCCATCTGTTCCTGGGAGGCGTGACATTTAACCTTTCTGTAAAGCCTTCTCAATTTTCCCATGTGTAAAATGATAATAGTAACAACCTTGTGGTGTCGTTGTGAGAAATAAAAAAGTGCCTAGGACAGTTCCAGGTATCCGATGCACTGCTCAATAATATGTGCTTCTATATTACTGAGAAACAGTACATAAAATAATGATTAATTTTCCTTGACGACGATACACAATGACGCAATGGACACAGAAGACAACTAACTCCAGCTGCCGGCTTGCCAACCTTGTCTCGTGGCTATGCTCTTGGCATTTTGCTATCTGCTTTTTGTAGACTTCTTTTTAATAAGACAGACCATTAGTCCCAGTGTCTTTGGGGGGACTTTCCCTGGCAGTCCAGTGGTTAGGACTTTGCCTTTCAGTACCGGGGCTGTGGGTTTGATCCCTGGTTGGGGAGTTAAGATCCCATTATGTGCAGTGGCAAAAAAAAAAAAAAAAAACACACCATAAAACAGAAGCAATATTGTAACAAATTCCATAAAGACTTTTAAAGTGCTCCATATTAAAAAGAAATCTTAAAAACTGTCTCTGGGTTCCTTCTTACTTCCATATGCTCAGCACCTGAAGCAGAACTTAAAACATACCTGTGTCCATTCGACGTTTTTTGAAAGGCCAGATAAACTATCATTCCTTGCTTTTGCCATTGTACTTGTTTCCAGCACCAAAGAGCAAAATCTGTTGCTTGTAATCTGCTCGGTTCAGGAAAACCAAATACACTGTCAGGAAAGGATGAATCAAACCCAAGAGGATCTTTATTAAGCCTGAAGCACCATTTTGTGAGTGTAACCTGATTCTGACCCTGATGCAGCACTGGGTCTTGCCGGGGCTCCACCGGGCCGTGAATGAACGTTGACAGCAGCAGGCAGTGGGCGCCAGCGAGCTGGCCGTGGGGTGCCTGTGCCGGGCACAGCTCGGGGTGGGGTGCCCGCGCCGGGCACAGCTCGGGGCAGAGGCTTTGCTTTCTCTTGGTCTTCCCCCACTGCTCTGCCGGTCGCCTGGGAAGATGCTTCTTCATTCCCGGCCGCTGGGGTGATGACGGCTGGTAGCCCTGAGACCCGGTGACAAGAAGAGGGACCAGGGGCCCCGGGGGGGATGGAGCCAGGTCAGCCAAGGCGAGGGGCTCGGGGGGATGGCCTCGGCGCCTGCTGGAGGGGCCGTGCCGAGTGAGGTGCGGGCGGGGCTCGGCAGAGGGTTAGAAGCAGGAGACTGGGCTTGGAACTGAAAAGTAATGAGATGGTCCTAGAAGCCCTTTTTATTTAACAGACATTGTGGCAGGTTTCCATCGATGTCCATACCCTCATCCTAGGAGCCTGTGAATGCGTCACTTTATTTGGCAAAAGAGGCGACTTCCCAGGTGGCTCAGTGGTAAAGAGTCCGCAAGAGAGGCTGCGGGCGTGACTAAGATCCAGGATCTTGGGATGCGGGAGTTGCCTGGCTTATCCAGGTGGACACAATCTAATCACACGAGGTTTTTAAAAGCACAGAGTCCTTCTGGGTTGCAGAGAGAGGGCGGCATGAGACAGACGTCACACTCCTGGCTGGACTGATGCTAAAGGAAAGGGGGCTTGTGGGGGTCCTAGAAGGAGGAAAGTCCAGAAGAGTTTCCCCCGGAGCCTCCAGAAGGAACACAGCCCTGCCAAGCCTTGATTTTCAACCAACGAGACTCATGCAGGACTGGCTTCCGCCCTACAAGGCTGTAAGGTAACGCATTTGTATTTAAGTCATCAAATTTGAGATAATTTGTTCTAGCAGCAACTGTGCCTGCATGCATGCTCGTTTGCTCCGTCGTGTCTCTCCCTTCGCAACCCCACAGGCCGTGGCCCCCCAGGCCCCTCTGTCCGTGGGATTCTCCAGGCAAGAATACAGCAGTGGGTGGCCATTTTCTCCTCCAGGGGATCTTCCTGACCCAGGGATTGAACCTGCATCTCTTGCTGGGCAGGCAGACTCTTTACCGCTGAGCCCCATGGGAAGCCCGGGAGGAACAATACATGAATATAAATATTTATAGAGTCCCATCTTGGGCCCGCACTGAGCTAAATATTAAAGCTACAACAGTATACAAAGTAAACTTGATTTCTGCCCTAATGAGGCTTACTTACAAACTAGGATCGAGAGTCGTCAACGAGCTGAAATCTACAGAACAAGATAACAAGAGGTCTTGTTACAGCCGTTCACCTTCTACTATATTAACTCTGCAAACCATACTCTGAATGAGAAGAAGCAGTTTCTAAATCAGTTTTTCTAATGAAAACATGTGCTCGATAGAAATAGAACGTATTTGTGTAAGTAACTTCTGACTACTGTGATGGGTAGCACTCCAAACCTACTTTTTAAAAAGGGCGAGCAGCTCTACAATATCAGCAAGAACCGACAGAGGTGTGAGGACCCGGCAAGTAACTTGGAAAAGGTAATGAGAACAAGTGACTGGGATTAACACAGAAGGGTGGCAGCTTTTGTCTAGTTCCATAAAATCGGTTATTCACGAACGACTGTGACCCAAAGCGCAGTCTGGCTGCTGGCTGCTCAGAAGCCATTAAAGAGGCCAGGTTGGTGGAAAGGAAAGTTTGTTTTATTTAGGATGCCAGCAACTGGCAGGGGGGTGGGGGAGGGCAGATGCCAAAGGCTGACGACCCTCTCCTCCCACCCACCTGCCCCAGTGGCCATCAGCTTTTATAGACAGAAGGAGCAGGCTACATGCAAAAACAGCACAGTCAGCTCTGACCATCATCTTCAGATTGGTCATAGAAGGTCTGACCAGCGTCATCTTGATTGTTTCACTACAGTTAGTCTTCAGTTCCAGGGTTGGTTGGTTGGTTCTTTTTTTTTTTCCATTTCTTGTGGCCAGTTCTCAGAATTGTGGCAGCTAATGTCACGGCTACTGTCTGTCAGTATGCAGTTCACTTCTTCCCCCTGGGGGAGTTTTAGTACCTATAAGACAGCTCACAGGATGTGGCTCAGAGGATTATCTGTAGCCCTTGCGAAGGAACTAAAGGTCCTTGAGTTTGCTTGATGACTGTTATGACTTGGTCTCCTTTGACTGTTTACCTTTGTTTCTGCATTTTCTCACTTCTCTGATTAAACCTATCCTTTGGCTAAAGTTTCTCTGGGGCTTCCCAGGTGGCTTAGTAATAAAGAATCCTGCCAACAGAGGAGATGCAGGAGATGTGGGTTCGATCCCTGGGTCAGGAAGATTCCCTGGAGGAGGAAATGGCAACCCACTCCAGTATTTTGCTTGGAAAATCCCCTGGACAGAGGAGCCTGGTGGGCTGCAGTCCGTGGGGTTGCCAAGAGTCAGATGCAGCTGAGCACAAGCACACACAGTTTTTCCATAGACAAAGGGCATGAGGGGCAAGGACCACAGAGTCCTGCTCAGGTTCACTACCACACAGAAATATAACTACATATAAACTTATAATGTGTTGACTGATGGATCTGCAGGTCACAAGCATCTCAAGAAATGAAGCACATTTTTTATTGACTTCAAAATTCTATTGTGTATTTGAACTCAACGTGTGTAAAATGTTAAAGGGGAGCCACTTCCTAAGAAATGAGATATGCTCATTTTCAGTTGTCACCAATATCTCACAGGAATGAAAGGCAAGTTACAAGGGGGCAGAGCTACTATTGCTTATGCTATTGACTTAGCTTGGAAGACGACAAACAAAACAGTTGTTTTTTTGCATTCTCAACTATATCATATTATTTTTCCTTTTGCATTCTCAACTACACCATGTCTCCTTGTAGAAATGCATCCTAATTTACATCATGATGAATTAGGAAGGGAGGCGGGGTCCTTATGCATGGTAGACCTAGAGAATGAGCCTTCTATTTGACTTCAGTAAAAGAACACTTTTAAGGACAATTATCTTATATCATATAACTAACAGCTCTCGGTCTGATAATTTTCATGGCCACGGTCTTCATGTAGGAAGTCAGCTTAGTTCCCGGTTTCCCATTTCATGGCATCTCTCAGTGTTCCTGAGAGCTCTCGACCTCTATGTCACTGACATCTGGGGCTGACCTGTGCCCTGTAACATTAGCAGCGTCTCTGGATGTCACCCACTGGATGTCTGCAGCATCTTCTTCCTGCTCATCATTACTCCTAGGCAATGTCTCCAGATATTGACAGTGTCCTGCGGGTAAGGAGACAAAATCTTGGTTGAGAGTCACCAGCCTAAGTGATTAAGGTAAACTAAAGTCACAGAAAAGAATAACTTGGGAGGCATGAAGTCACCCTGTAATTCTTGGTTGTGCTTCCTGTTATTAACTTGGTCTCCTGTTAGCAGGACACAGGGAATTTTCTCAGCATGAACCTTGTGATGCATCGACTACTGATTGAGCACAGACCCACCTTTCATTGCAGTAATCACGGTCTTTCATCTTCATAGCCGGCACTAAAATAAACCTTTATAGATACTGGGGGACTTCTGGAAAAACCACAATATTCCGTCAGCCACTCTCCCAAGTCTTTTTATAGACCCTGTTCTAGTTTAATCAAAGGACAGTCATTTATGACTTAAAATATAAAAATCTTAATAGAAGCCCAAGAATTATTTAAATAGTGTGTATATTATCAAGAGTGAGGACTTTAAAAATCACTGAAAAGTAGGTGCAGAGTTAGAGAAATGACAAGGTTTAATCTCCTGTCATGAAACAGGTGAATGACTCAAATTATGTGGGATATAGGATGTACAACATCACATAAAACGTTAGATACATAAAACTCCATTTTTTCATTAGTTTGGATTTAAAAAATGCTTAGTGCCCATGGAGGGACCAGTATGTGGCAGTGGAGGTGGGGTGGTGGTAGGGAAGGAAAAGAATTCCTCAAAGAACTGCTGAGTTATGTATCATTTCTTTTATAAATTGAAGCATAGTTAATTTGCAGTGGTGTGTTTCAAATGTACAGCAAAGTGATTCAGTTATACATATATATTCTTTTTCAGGTCTTTTCCTTTATAGGTTTTTACAAAATATTGAGTATAGTTCCCTGTGCTACATGTCACTGCTATTCATTCTCTTATTAGAGTGACTTTGGGTTTATTTACAACACAGAGAGACAAGGGTTTTGAACAGTAATGCATGCTTGGTGTTTTTTAATTAATAGTGTTAAAAAAAATCACTAGATCCTTTTTTTCTGTTTTGTTTTTTAATATAATTGCTTTACAATGTTGCATTAGTTTCTACTGTAAACCAATGTGAATCAGCTATATATATATATATATATATATATATATATATACACACACACACACACACACACATGCGTGTGCGCACAGCATCATATACCTATCCCCTCCCTCTCCAGCCTCCCTCCCGCGCCCTCAGCCCACCCCCCAAGTCATCACACAGCACCAAGCGGAGCTCCCCATTAGCTGTCTGTTTTACACTGTAGAGAATATATGTGCTTCTCTTTCTCAAGTCATCCCACCATGAAAAGGAATGAAATTGGGTCATTTGTAATGATGTGGATGAACCTAGGGTCTATCATACAGAGTGACGTAAGTCAGAGAAAAACAAGCATCATATGTTAACTCATATACATGGAATCTAGGAGGCTTCCCTGGTAGCTCACAGTAAAGGATCTGCCTGCAATGAGGGAGACCCAGATTCGACGATCCCTGTGTTGGGAAAATCCCCTGGAGAAAGGAATAGCAACCTAACCCAGTTCTCTTGCCTGGAGAATTCCATGGACAAAGGAAAAATAAATGGTACAGATGAGCCTACTTGCAGGCAGGAATAGAAAGGGAGTACAGAATGTATTGTGGACACAGTGGGGAAGGAGAGGGTGGGTTGAATTGAAAGAATCTGCCCTTTAAGTGTGGAATAATATACCCTGAAAGTGGAAAGTCTCTTCATATGATCAGTCAGTTCTCTCCAGACATAGAGCAGAGGCTCCACCTGCAGAAGCTGGGGAGCTGGCACGGCGCTGCTGGTACAGTGGCCACACCTGTGAAACCAAAGGCCCATCATTAGCTAACTGGCAGAAGATGTGTTTCAGAGAAAACCATACAGTGTAGAAGGCAGAGGGAGCAAGGGTGTCCTGGACATACCACAGCAAGGTTAGCTTCTAGATTTCTGGTCACTTCCGGAGTCTCAGAGCATCAAGTTGGAGAACATGGCATTCATCAAAAATCTTATGGAAAGCAATAAGCATCCTAGGTCGATGATTTAGCAGAAAGAGGTTTTAAAAAAAAATCAAAGTTTGTCACCAAAGGCACAGACAAAACGGGGAACACGGTCTTCTGTAAGGACTCGGATCGAACTGAAGCACGCTCATTTTACAACCCTGGCATGGGTGTGTAATCCTCGGTCTCAGGGTACAAAGGCATGTCTAAAGAAGGCTAAACCTCTTCCGAGTGAGGACTTTCTGAATTCCTCATTTTTAAGGTACCAGGTGCATTCCTGTGGCTTAGCCTATGAGAAGGCACGACACACACACACACAAGCCGGTGGCACGTCCTTTTTGCCCTCGGGAGACTGAAATTTGATCTCCCAAGCTGGTGGAAAGGTCGGCGATTGAAACCAGGCTGCTCTCTGCCTCTCGAAGCGCGGGTGCAGGGCCCGCCCTCTGATTGGCCGTCCCCGGGGCGGGGGGCCTGAGGCCGGAAGCGCCTGTGCCGGCTGCTGATCAATGGTCAGTGTCAGCGGGGCTCAGTTTAATGAACCTTCCTCCCGCGTCCCCGCCTTGCTGACAACAGTGGGTAGCACCAGTGCCAACGCCGAGGACGCGGGATCTATTGGAAGGCGAAATAATTGCTTCATTTTGTGGCACAAAGGTATAAACCTGATTTTTGTGTACATAAGAGCGCGCTTTCAATCCTTAGCTGGAAGAGAGCCTGGCGCGGAGCACAGAGTGAAACGGGGTAGAAAGAGATCGGCTCTCAGAACTGCAGCAGAATTGCCAAGGGCTTTATAGTCAAGGGATTCTTGGGCTCTGTGGGCCAGCACCCAGCCCGAAGCGTGCTGTCTCCGTCACAGAGGGCAAAACGGTTGTTTCCGTTGGTGCCTTTCCACGATAAAGTGTTTTGACAAATCAAGAGAAGCGGCGAAAACCCCACCGATGAGATTTGCACCTAATTTGTCTCGTTACTGCCTCGTTATGATGGGGCGTGCGCAGCAGGACGCCCGGCCCCAAAGCGGAATCTGGCGCACAACTGAGGGTTAGGAGGGAAATGAATGTGACAGCCCGAACCCAGAATATTCCTGTCATGCCTCCTACTTCCCTGAATTTCCCTGAACTGCCTTTGTGTTGGCGAGTGAAATTATGAGGCAGTTGTGTCCTTTAAAAGGTGTGTTTCCAAATGCTGCTAAGGTTAAGATTAAGGCGCAATTACTCTGAAACGTGAACACGTGCGTGCTGTCATGCCTGACTCTCTGCGACCCCATCATGGACTGTAGCCTGCCGGGCTCCTCCATCCATGGGATTGTCCAGGCAAGAATACTGGAGTGGGTTGCCATTTCCTTCTCCAGAAACATTAACACAGTGCAGCCTGAAATTACGGAATTCAGGTGATTATGTCAAATAGTATTCATACATACTTCTAGATTTCTACACCATAGCCCATTTGTATTTGATTTTTTAAAATATACTATGCTTGTTTTTAAGCATTAGGATAAATCAGTCCTTCCCTAGATATTTGACAACTCACAAAACAAACCCAACAAACTCTGAAATGACACTGCTGTAATAGGTAGGTCCGATCCCTGGGTCGGGGAGGTCCCCTGGAGAAGGGAGTGGCAACCCACTCCAGTATTCTTGCCTGGGAAATTCCATGGACAGAGGAGCCTGGCGGGCTACAGTCCATGAGATCTCAAAGAGTCAGACATGACTCAGTGACTGAACAACAGCAACGATCCCAGCTTTAGGCAAAACTGCAAAGAGGCATTTTTCCTTTCCCCTGACCCCTTCTGTTCCACCGTGTCTTCTGTGGATGGGTCACCATCCTTCCTCAGCCCTCACACTTTACTTTTCAGTGAAGAATTCCATTTAGCCAAATCCTTTTTATTAGTAAAATGAAAACCACTCATCACACAGTGAGTGAGCGCTCAGATTCTGTCTGGACCGTGAAGCTTGAGCAAGGAGAGAAGTCCTCTGGTGAGCTCTCTGCACTGCACACTCTTACTCCCGGCTACCTCCTCCTCAGCTGCCGCTGGCCGGCCGGCTTCTACAGCGCACGGTCTCAGCATCCATGTTTGACCCCCGCTGCCCGCCCCGCGCTCCTCTCCTGTGAGAGCGAAGGAGGCCTGGGAGAATCTGCCTGGTCCCCAAGCGTGCATGGCTGGAAAGTGAGGGAGCTGACATCGCAGGCCAGGGCCTAAACCCCCTTCCACTCCCCAGGAGGCCGATCCCAGGGATGCATTCTGGGGCCCAGAACGTCTCTGTGGGGGTGAGCTGGAGGGAACACGGTGTTGTCTGTTCTTCCTTTCCTCCTGCAGCCTTTCCAGTCCCTTGGTCTTATTCCATTTGATGACCTCCCAGAATAAGTCATCTGTGTCTAAGGTGGGTTATCTAACAGCTCCTGGGGCACGCCCAGGCTAAGGTGTGTACTCACTTGAATCACAACAAGCAAGGAAGATTGCGAGATGATTCCAGAATGCGTTACATTCTTTTTTATTTTAAATCTGGTTGTGCCAGGCCTTAGTTGTGGCACATGGGATCTTCGCTGTGTCATGCGGGATATTTCAGCTGCAGCAGTGGACTTCCTCGCTGTGGCTCACTGCTCACATGCGCTCTAGTTGCTCGGAGACGCGTGGGATCTTCGTTCCCAGCCGGGGATCAAGCCCTCGTCCCTGCACTGGAAGGTGGATGCTTAACCACAGGACCACCAGAGGAGTCCCCAGAATGGGACACAAGCTTTGGAGAAGTAAAGAGGGTAAAACGGAAGTGACTGTTATTAAGGTCAGGATGCCCGCGTGCGGGCGTGTGGTGGCACCCTCTAGGGTGATCCATGACAGTGTCTTCAAGAGAGACCTGGGACTGATGCCTAAATGATGGGAAGGAGCTGACTGTAGAAAAGCCTGGAAGGGAAGAAGTCACCTCCCGTCAGAACAGAATGTGAGCTTCTGAGGGGGCCTGGGCATGTGCATCTAGAAACAGAAGAACCTCAGTGCAGCCACAGCAAAGTGGATGGGAGGGAGACTCGGAGGCCTTCCCAGGCCGCAGTGGAGTTTGGATTTTATTTTGTGGGTGACAGGACGGTACTGAAGGATTCTGAGCAGAGAAAGTGAAGTGCTGTGAGTTCTGTGATAAATAGTTCACGCTGACTGTTTCGTGGAAAACCACGGGCCAGGTGGGTCAGTAGGGAGATTTGGGTGATGGGTGATGTGGTCCAGACTTGGATAGTGGCAGAGGCAGGAGAGAAAGCCTAGGCTTCCCCTTCCAGGCAATATTTGGGTTTAAACAACTTTAATTTGATGCCCTGCTGGCTGGATGTGTTGGTATGTGTGTTTCTGGCTAGTGAGGGTCAAAGGCTTTTCCCTGCTCTGGGGTTCCCTACACTATAGGAGTTTCACTTTTAAAAGACCGTGGCTTCTTTTTTTGTTTTGTTTCTCTTCAAACTGCTGCATGCATGCAGAATCTTAGCTCCCTGCCCAGGGATCAGACCGAGGCCCCCTGCATTTGGAAGCAAGGAGTCTTAACCATTGGACCACCAGGGACGTCCCTGAAAGACTATGGCTTCTTAATTTAGGATATATTGCTCATGAATAGTGTATTCCTATATGCAGTGTATTCTGTTTATATATCAGAATAACTTCAGAAAAGTCGATTTGCATCATGTGCCAGTCTTGCTACAGTGCTGATGTGAAGTGCCTACAGGGAGGGAATTTTGCAGACAGCAGAAGAGGAAAGATCCATACCCTGATCTGTAGGAGGAAGAAAGAAGGTTTGCTTGAGAAAATAACAACAGGAGTTCCGTGATCTGGCTGATGCACAATCTTAGATGAATAAATATTAGCACAGAGGTGAAATGTTAACTTTACAGAAAATAAAAGAACACTACCAAACAAGAGTAACTAATATTCTAAGAAGTGGGAACAACTTTCATGGAATATTTGTTGCACTAAATGAATAGATTATTGAGGGGAAATATTTGATGGCAGGACATCTGCATACATATTAGAAATATTATGGAGAGAATACATTTGCAGAAACTATTGTGGGAAATTTTTTCAATTTAAATGAATCCTCCTGCTTGCCTGATTTTGGTTAGCTTATATGAATATATATGGACTGATTATTGGTGAATAATTTCTGTTATATTTGAATCTAAAGGTTTGCTTTAAAATTTCTTCTTTAGAGTTTCCACTACACATGGTACATTGTATGAGTTCATGCTTTAATTGAAGTATAGTTGATTTCAATGCATGTTTCACATGTACAGCACAGTGAGACAGTTATATTTATATTTTTTAAGCATATATATTCTTAATCAGATTCCAACCCCTGGTGGTCTAGTGGTTAGGATTCAGCAATCTCTATATATATCAGATTCTATTCCCTTACAGGTTATTGCAAAATATTGACTATAGTTTCCATACTGTGCAGTGGTAGGTCCTTTTTGGTTAACTATTTTATATTTGGCAGAGTGTAAACATGAATTCTAAGCTCCTAATTTATCTGTCGTTTCCTCTTCCTGTTTGGAACCTTACCTTGGTTTTTACGCTGCGAGTTGATTTCTGTTTTGGGAATGAGTTCATTTGTACAGTATTTTTTAGATTCCACATATAAGTAAAATTGTATGATATTTGTCTTTCTCTGTCTGGCTTATTTCACTGTGTATGATAATGTCTAGGTCAATCCATGTTGCTACAAATGGCATTATTTCATCCTTTGTTATGGCTGAGTAGCATTCTGTAGTATATATGTACCACATCTGCTTTATTGATTCATCAGTGGATGGATGAAAACATAGGTTTTTCCCATGTCTTGGCTATTGTAAATAGTGCTGCAATGAACATAGGTGTCCTTGTATCTCTTTGAAGTAGAGTTTTGTTTGAATATATGCCCGGGAGTATGACTGCTGGATGATATGGTAGTTCTATTTATAGGTTTTGAGAAACCTCCATACTGTTTTCCACAGTAGTTGAACCAATTTGCATCCCCACCGACAGTGTAGGAGGGTTTCCTTTCTCCAAACCCTTGCCAGCATTTATTTGTAGACATTTTAATTATGGCCATTCTGACTGGTATGAGTTTTAGTACCTCATTGTAGTTTTTATTTGCATTTCTCTAATATAAGTAATGTTGAGCATTTCTTTATGTACCTGTTGGTCATCTATATATCTTCTTTAGAGAAATAGCTACGTAGATCTTCTGCCCATTTTTTGATTGGGTCATTTTGTTTTTCTGTCACTGAGTTGTATGGGCCATTTGTATATTTTGGAAATTATGGTTTTGTCCGATGCCTCATTTAAAAATATTTTCTTCCAGCCTGTAGATTGTTTTTCCTTTCTGTTTATGGTTTCCTTTGCTGTGCCAACACATTTAAGTTTGTTTAGGCCCCACTGGTTTATTTTTGTTCTTATTTCCATTACACTAGGAGCAGGATCTAGAAAGATATTGCTGTGATTTATATCAAAGAGTATTCTGCCTTGGTTTTCCTGTAAGACTTTTTTACTACCTGGTCTTAATTTTGGGTCTTTAACCAATTTTGAGTTTATTTGGGGATGTGGTGCTAGAGACTGTTCCTGATTCATTCTTTTACATGTAGCTCTCTACTTTCCCCAGCGCCACTTACGGAAAAGACTGTCTTTTCTCTGCTGTATATATTCCTGCTTCCTTTGTTGTAGATTAATTGACCTTAGATGCAGGACTTTTATCCTGTTCCACTGATCTATATTTCTGTTGTTGTGCCATTCAGTTAAGTTCAGTCGCTCAGTCATGTCCAACTCTCCTCGACCCCATGAATCACAGCATGCCAGGCCTCCCTGTCCATCACAAACTCCTGGAGTTTACTCAAACTCACATCCATCGAGTTGGTGATGCCATCCAACCATCTCATCCTCTGTCGTCCCCTTCTCCTTCTGCCCCCAACCCCTCCCAGCATCAGGGTCTTTTCCATTGACTCAACTCTTCCCATCAGGTGGCTAAAGGATTGAAGTTTCAGCTTCAGCATCAGTCCTTCCCATGAACATCCAGGACTGATCTCCTTTAGGATAAACTGGTTGGATCTCCTTGAAGTCCAAGGGACTCTCAAGAGTCTTCTCCAACACCACAGTTCAAAAGCATCAATTCTTCGGTGCTCAGCTTTCTTCACAGTCCAGCTCTCATATCCATACATGACCACTGGAAGAACCATAGCCTTGACTAGATGGACCTTTGTTGGCAAAGTAATGTCTCTGCTTTTTAATATGCTATCTAGGTTGGTCATAACTTTCCTTCCAAGGAGTAAGCGTCTTTTAATTTCATGGCTGGAGTCACCATCTGCAGTGATCTTGGAGCCCAAAAAAATAAAGTCAGCCACTGTTTCCACTGTCTCCCCATCTATTTCCCATGAGGTGATGGGACCAGATGCCGTGATCTTAGCTTTCTGGATGTTGAGCTTTGTGCCATTGCCACACTGTTTTTATTCCTGCAACTTTGTGGTATAGTCTGAAGTCAGGGAGTGCAATTCCTCCAGCTCCATTTTGCTTTCACGAGACTGTTCTGGCTATTTGGTGCCTTTTGTGTTTCCACACAAATGTAAATGTTTTGTGTTCTAGTTTTGTGGAATAAGAAATGGCATTGGTCATTAGATACAGAGTGCTTTGCTTGCTCTAAGTAGTTTGGCATTTTAGCATCACTACTTCTTCCCATCCAAGTGCACAGTCTGTCTTTTCATCTCTGTATCAGCTTCCATTTCTGTCATTAGCATCTTCTAGTTTTCAGAGTAGAGGTCTTTTTTCTCCTTGGTAGGTTTCTTTTTCTGTTGTTGTTTTGTCAACTTAAAGCAGGTAAAATTAGTGATCAGAACAAAATGGTATTAACTAGGAAAAACTGAACACAAGAGATGCTTTACAGGATAATATATCCTTTTCATGTTGATTATTTTGACCGGGTTTAATACAGGTGATTATTCTTCAGTCTTCTGAGTTTAAATTGTTCAGGTAGCCATAAAGTATGAAAATATAAACAAATATACATAAGCAGTTTACTGATCTTCCATGATATGTTCAACATTCCTCACTAGCAGTTCATAATTCAATAAGCAAATTTGCAATGAACAATGTGCACTAAAACAGCACTCATTGGTCCTTATACCTCCATTTACAGTGCATTGTCTCGTATGATTTGTGTGTCTAATTTTCCCTGAATAAGCTTGCACCTTTAGCATATCTGAGAAGTGATCAAAGGAGCCCAGTCTACTAAGAGATACTATGTTGTCTATGTTCCCAGACTTTGTGGTCACCAGTATTTTATTTTTTATAAGATTCACCTACTGTAAGTCTTATAAACATTTTTGCCATTTACATTATACCAAGAAAAAAGTGAATACTAAAAATGAGATAATGGAAAAACAAAAACAGATTTCTTTTGCTTTCAAATGATTCTATACCAAAACATTTTGCTAAAGTGATTTTAATTTATAGATGACTTTTTAAATGGTACTCAGAATACATTACAGATTTGGTTTTAAAACAGATTTGAGTTTATAACAGGTCTCACAATGATATCAGAACACAATGTGGAGGTGCAACAATTATGTGATGACTTCTTAATTAGTCAAGGGGATAAAGATCTTCTTCAAATATGGATAGAAATTAAGTCCTTCTACAGTATTAATCTCTAAGAGCTATTTTCCTTTATAGACTACAATGTTATTGTTGGCTTCATACACTTTTACCTTATAAAGAACTCCCACAGGAAGAAATTTCTGGAGGTTTTCCCAGGTATAAATGTCTACATTTTCTGTTGTGCTTACAATGTCTCTGCAAAATACGGCAGGTCCAGACCCAGATACTTAATGGTCAAGGGGCTTCATAATTGCCTCTTCCATATGCTCTTGGAGGTCGGTTAAATTCATGACCACTCCTGTAACAGGACCAATTTCTCCATGTACTGTCACCACAACTTTATAGGTAATTGAGGAGAAGGTTATCACTGAGTTTAGCTTCCATGAGTAACACTTTGTACTTGTAAAGCTTGGTGAAATTCTCTCTCTCACCTGTTCTGCTGGTGATAATTTATCAAAGGAAGATGGAATTATGTAGACAGGTCCTCTAGCAAATATTGTAGTGTGACAGTTCGGGTGAATAGAAGAAAGCACACTATGAGCACGTTTTATACTCATAGAGTAACAGTGTCAGAGAAGGCTCAAGCGAGGGACTTCTGTAATCTTCTTTAATTGAACGATAATTTTCTTAGGAATGTGGGCTTTCAGTCAAAGCTATTTACTAAACATTAGCCTACATCTTGGTACCTCTTTTAATAAAGTAAAATGAAGGAAAATAATACACAGGATCATTTTCATATTTTAAGACATACAAAGGAACTCTAAAGTGGACAGATAGAAACCAGTGTATTTGTTACTATTTTCTGTCTCATGTCTTTCTGGCTTAAAGGTGAGATCATGTGTTTTATTTGTTCCACCTTTACTCGAAAGGTTTTCCTGGTAGCTCAGCTGGTAAAGAATACACCTGCAATGTGGGAGACCTGGGTTCGATCTCTGGGTTGGGAAGGTCCCCTGGAGAAGGGAACGGCTATTCACTCCAGTATTCTGGCCTGGAGAATTCCACAGCCTCTTCCATGCGGTCGCACAGAGTTGGACACGCTGCGTGACTTTCACTTCACTTCACTTACTTGAAAGTATAACTGTTGTTGCACTTCCCGAATAATTTCAAGTCTTCCTCATCACTCAGAGATTTGCTGTGGGGGTGATGGGTTGTGCTGAAGGAGACAAGGCAGGACGCTTGTGCCCGTGGGCGAGGACCCAAGCCTGGGCCATTCATGGTTTTACATCCTCACCCCCTGGCCAGCGTCTTAACTCCCTGGCCTACCGCCAGGCTGGCATGGGTGGAGCCTCCCCCACGGCTTCCTTAGGTAGGTTTAGTCCTAGGAAGTTTTCATCTTTTTAATGCAGTGGTAAATGGGATTGCTTCCTAAGTTTTTCTCTCAGCTCTTTTGTTGTTAGTGTAGAGAGATACAACAGATGGCTCTGTGTGAATTTAGTATCCTGCAACATTACCAAATTCATTGAGGAGTCCTCTCAGCTTTCTGGTAGCATCGTTAGATATTCCTATGTGTAGTACCATGTTATCTGCAAACAGTGACAGTTTTACTTCTTTTCCAGATTTCTTTCCTGATTGCTACTGCTAAGACTTCCAAAACACGTTGACTTAAAGTGGCAAATGTGGATATCCTCATTTTGTTCACAATCTTACAGGAAATGCCTTCAGCTTTTCACTGCTGAGTATGATGTTCGCGGTGGGTTTGTCATATATGGCCTTTATTACTCCAAGGTATGTTCCTTCTGTGTCCCCACTCTCTGGAGATTCTTTAAAAATACTGTATTTTGGGCTGCACTGGATATCGTTGCTATGCAGGCTTTCTCTAGTTGCCATGAGTGGGGCTACTCTTGGTTGCAGTGTGCAGGCTTCTCATTGCAGGGGCTTCCTTCATGTCGGACCTCCAGCTCCAGGCCTGTGGGCTCAGCTGTGTGGAGCATGGGCTTCAGTTCTTGCACGCAGGCTCAGCGGTTGGGGCTCACAGGCTCGAGAGTGCAGGCTCGGCAGTTGTGATGCTCGGGCTTAGCTGCTTTGCTGTATACGGGATCTTTCCAGACCAGGGATCTGGAAACCCATGTCCCCTGCATTGGCTGGCAGATTCTCAACCAAATGCATTTTCAGGGAATTCCCTGGTGTGCGTCCCAGCAAGAATACTGCAGTGGGTTGCCATGCCCTCGTCCAGGGGGATCTTTCCAACCCAGGGATCAAACCCACATCTCTTGCATCTTCTGCATTGTCAGGCGGGTTCTTTACCACTAGCACTACCTGGGAAACCCCTCGACCACTGGACCAACAGGGAAGTCCCAGCACTTTCTTTTTTTTTTTTTTTTGTGAGGTAAGTACTTTTATTATTTCAAGCCCAGAGAGGTGAGGTCATTTGCCCAACACCACACAGCAAATGGCCTTAGGATGCAATCTCAGATCTATCCCACTAGAGCGCCCAGCATCTGACATGGTGGTCTGACTGCATGCTGAGCACTGACCACACTCTTGGGCCTGACCGCAGCCCATTCGCCTCCCACCCCAGCTGCTTTCCAGAAGGACTATTGGTAGTGGAGCCCCAGGCACTGCAGGGTCCTGGAGAAGTAAGAGGGCAGAGGAGCCAGAAGCTCAATGGGTCGGTCCCTGGGCCTGGCGCCTGGGAGGTGAAGACAGTGCAGATGGAGGTGCAGGGGCAACCGGGCGGCCTGGGAGGGGGTCAGGCAGAGGCGGCCAAGGAGGGCTTCATCCAGGACCTGTCTTTGAGGCCTGGTGCTCTCGACGGGCAGAAGAAAGTGCTGGCCCAGGACAGTGCCCACGCGGGCAGAGTATGTGTGATCCCCAAGCACAGGGCAGAGCTGCAGGGCCATGTGTGCCTGTAGCTGGCTGGGAAACACTGTCAGTGGCTGCAGCTGGACCAGGGCACAGCCAGAGCCCGTGGCAACCACACGGAAGTGGCTAAGGGTCCTCTTGACACCTTCCATGATGTCCTTTCGGGATGGGGATTGCACTGGAACAACGAGATGGACCCCATCAATGTGTTCCAGTTTCAGAGCTGCTTTCTGGAGACATTTTTTTTTTTCTCATACATGGATGTCAAATTGTATCTAAAGCTTTTCCTACCTCTGTTGAAAGGATCATGTGGTTTTTATTCAGTTGGTTAATATGGGGTATCACACTGATTTACCGATATTGAAAAATCCTTGCATTCCTGGAATAAAGCCTACTTGATCGTAGTGTATAATCCTTATAATGCATTGTTGCTTTGGTCTGCTAGTGTTGTGTTGAGGGTTTTGGCATCTGTGTTCACCAGTGATATGGGGCTAAAATTTTGTTTTTCGTGTGTGGACTCTTGGTCTGATTTTTGGTGCCAGAGTGATGGTGGCCTCAGAGAACGAGTTCAGAAGTGTTCCATCCTCTGCAGTTTTTTGGGAAAAGTTGCAGAAGGATAGGCGTTAACTCTTCTCTAAATATTCAGTAGAATTCCCCTGTGAGGTCATCTGGTCCTGGACTTGTGTTCGTGGGGCGCCTTTAAATTCCTGATTCAATTTCAGGAATAGCAATTGGTCAGCTCATATTTTCTAGTTCTTCCTGATTCAGTCTTGGGAGGTTGTGCCTTTGTGAAAATCTGTCTGTTTCCCCTAGGCTGTCTGTTTTATTGGCAAGGAAATGCTAGTAGTATTCTCGTGGGGTCCTTTGCATTTCTGGGATGTCGGCTGTTAAGTGCTTCCTTTACGTTTTTACCTTTATTGATTTGGGGCCCCTCCCTTTTTGTTTTGTGATGAGTCTGACTAAGGCTTATCAATTTTCATCTTTCCAAAGAACGAGCTTTCAGTTTCACTCATATATTCTTTGTGTGTTTTTTAAGGGCTCAATTTATTTCAGCTCTGACCATTATGATCTATTATCTATGCATTCATTTTTATTTTTTTTCATTATGGTTAATTACAGAATATTGAATATAGTTCCATCTGGCATACAATAAGACCTGGTTCCTTTCTAAAAATTAATCAATTTTTAATTTAAATTTAAAATCTTTTATTTTTGAGTATCAGTTCAGTTCAGTCACTCAGTCGTGTCTGACTCTTTGTGATCCCATGAATCACAGCACGCCAGGCCTCCCCGTCCATCACAAACTCCCGGAGTTTACCCAAACTCATGTGCATCGAGTCGGTGATGCCATCCAGCCATCTCATCCTCTGTTGTCCCCTTCTCCTCCTGCCCCCAATCCCTTCCAGCATCAGGGTCTTTTCCAATGAGTCAACTCTTCCCATCAGGTGGCCAAAGGATTGGAGTTTCAGCCTCAGCATCAGTCCTTCCAATGAACACTCAGGACTGAACTCCTTTAGGATAGACTGGTTGGATCTCCTTGCAGTCCAAGGGACTCTCAAGAGTCTTCTCCAACACCACAGTTCAAAAGCATCAATTCTTCGGTGCTCAGCTTTCTTCACAGTCCAGCTCTCACATCCATACATGACCACTGGAAGAACCATAGCCTTGACTAGACGGACCTTTGTTGGCAAAGTAATGTCTCTGCTTTTTAATATGCTATCTAGGTTGGTCATAACTTTCCTTTCAAGGAGTAAGCATCTTTTAATTCATGGCTGCAATCACCATCTGCAGTGATTTTAGATCCCCCAAAAATAAAGTCTGATACTGTTTCCACTGTTTTCCCATCTATTTCCCATGAAGTGATGGGACCAGATGCCATGATCTTAGTCTTCTAAATGTTGAGCTTTAAGCCAACTTTTTCACTCTCCTCTTTCACTTTCATCAAAAGGCTTTTTACTTCCTCTTCACTTTCTGCCATAAGGGTGGTGTCATCTGCATATCTGAGGTTATTGATATTTCTCCTGGCAATCTTGATTCCAGCTTGTGCTTCTTCCAGCCCAGCGTTTCTCATGATGTGCTCTGCATATAAGTTAAATAAGCAGGTATAGTTGAGTAATAATGTGTTAGTGCAGATATACTGCAGAGTGATTCAATTATACACATACATGTATCTATTTTTTTCAAATTCTTTCCCATTTAGGTTATTACCAAGTATTGAGCAGAGACCCCTGTGTGATACAGTAGGCCCTTCTTTATTGTAAATACAGCAGTGTGTACCTGTCTGTCCCAAGCTCCCCATCTCTTCCTCTTTGCCACTCATTGCCCCTGGTAACCACAAGTTCATTTTGCATTTTGTTTGAGCCTATACTGTTTTGTAAATAAGTTCATTTTTACCAGTGTTTTAGATTCCACAAATAAGCAATCTCATATGATATTTTTCTTTGCCTGAATTATTTCACACAGTATGACAATCTAGGTCTATCCATGCTACTGCAAATGGCATCACTCCATTCTTTTTTGTGGCTGAGTAATATTCAATTGTATATATGTACCCTATTTTTATCCATTTCTCTGTTGATGGACATTTAGATTGCTTCCATGTCCTGGCTGTTGAGTTCTGCAATGAACATTGGGGTGCATGTATCATTTCAAACCATGTATCTCTCTGGATATAGGCCTGGAAGTGGAATTGCTGAATCATACACTAAATAAATCATAGGCTAGGGCTTCCCTGGTAGCTCAGATGGTGAAGAATCTGCCCACAATGTCGGAGACACAGGTACGATCCCTAGGTCAGGAAGATCCCCTGACGAAGGGACTGGCAACCCACGTCAGTGTTCTTGCTTGGAGAATTCCATGGACAGAGGAACCTGGGGGGCTATGACTGAGCAACTAACATTTCATGGTAGCCGTACCAATTTACATTCCCAGCGAGAGTGGAGGAGGGTGCCCTTTTCTCCAGGACCTTGTTTTTTAATCCACATTGTGTATTAACAGTCTGAATCTGCCAACCCGACTCCCAATCTAACTCTCCTGGGCTTCTCCTCTCCCTGCCAAGCACCAGTCTCTTCTCTCGACGCTGCCCTGGTAGCTCAGCTGGTGAAGAGCTGAGCTCACTGCAGCTCTCTGCCTGCAATGTGGCAGACCTGGGTTTGATCCCTGGGTTGGGAAGATCCCCTGGAGGAGCCAGTGGCTACCCACTCCAGTATTCTGGCCTGGAGAATTTCATGGACTATTCCATGAGGTTGTGAAGAGTCGGACGTGACTCAGTGACTTTCACTTTCTTTCACTCTCCTCTTTCACCTTCATCAAGAGGCTCTTTAGTTCCTCCTCACTTTCTGCCATTAGGGTGGTGTCATCTGCATATCTGAGGTTATTAATATTTCTCCCGGCAATCTTGATTCCAGCTTGTGCTTTATCTAGCCCAGCATTTCTCATGATGCACTCTGCATATAAGTTAAATAAGCAGGGTGAAAATATAGAGTATTGATATACTCCTTTCCCAATTTTGAACCAGTCCACGGTTCCACATCCAGTTCTAATTGTTGCTCCTTGGCCTAAATATAGGTTTCTCAGGAGGCAGGTAAAGTGGTCTGGTATTCCCATCTCTTTAAGAATATTCCACAGTTTGTTGTGATCCACACAAAGGGTTTCATGTAGTCAGTGATGCAGAAGTTTTTCTGGAATTCCCCTGCTTTTTCTGTGATCCAGTGGGTGTTGGAAATTTGATCTCTGGTTCCTCTGCCTTTTCTAAAACCAGCTTGAACATCTGGAAGTTCTCCATTCACGTACTGTTGAAGCCTGGCTTGAAGGATTTTGAGCACTGCCTTTCTACCAAGTGAAATGAGCACAGTTGTGCAGTAGTTTGAACATTCTTTGGCACTGCCCTTCTTTGGGATTGGAATGAAAGCTGATCTTTTCCAGTCCTGTGGCCACTGCTGAGTTTTCCAAATTTGCTGGCATATTGAATCCAGCGCTTTAATTAGCATCATCTTTAGGATTTGCAGTAGTTCAGCTGGAATTCCATCACCTCCTCTAGCTTTGTTCATAGTGATGCTTCCTAAGGCCCACTTGACTTCACACTCCAGGCTGTCTGGCTCTAGGTGAGTGATCACACCATCGTGGTTTTGAATACTATATGCTGGTAGTCTAGTCTGAAGACAGGGAGTGTGATTTCTCCAGCTCCATTCTTCTTTCCCAAGATTGTTTTGGTTATTCAGGGTCTTTTATGTTTCCATACAAATTTAAATTTTTTGTATTCTAGTTCTGTGAAAAATGCCACTGGTCTTTTGATAGGGATTGCATTGAATCCGTAGCGTGCTCCGAGTAGTGTGGACATTTCAACAACGCTGATTTTTTAATGTGGATTCTTTACATCGAAGAACAAGTCATTCTTTCCATCTGTGCACGAGCTTTGTTTCTTTCCTCAGCATCTTGTAGTTTTCAGAGTAGAGGACTTCTGCCTCCTCAAGTAGGTTTATTCCTAAAATATTTTCTTCTATTTGCTGCGATGGTAAATGGGATCATCTCCTGAGTTTCTCCTTCGGCTCTTTCATTATTATTATATGGAAATGCAGCAGAGTTCTCAGTAGTGATTTTGTGTCCTGCAAATTTACTGAATTCACATTGTTGTTTAGTCACTGACTCGTGTTGGACTCTTTGCGACCCCGTGGACTGTAGCCCGCCAGGTGCCTCTGTCCATGACATTTTCCAGGTAAAAATACTGGAGTGGGTAGTCATTTCCTTCTCCAGGGGATCTTCTGACCCAAGGATTGAACCCACATCTCCTATGTTGGCAGATGGCTTCTTTACCCTGAGGCACCAGGGAAGCCCTTACTGAATTCATAGATGAATTCTAACACTTAATTGTTCACTTTTTTAGACCTTCAGTGCATCATAATATGTCACCTGCAAGCAATGACAGTTTTGCTTCTTCCTTTCCAATGTGGATTTTTTTCTCTTCAGTTGCAGTGGCGAGGACTTCCAAACCTACGTTATATAAACGGGTGAGAAGGGCACATTCATGATCCTGTGGTTC